AATAACAACTACATATGCAGCGGTTTTGATGGATAAGAAATAGGACCAATGAGTGAAAGGAAAAGGGAAACAGATTTCAGCTAATCCATGAAGAGAAACTGTCTAAGATAGAACAGACTGACTGGTGAGATGAAGAGTTTCCCAACATAGGAAATATTTTGTCAAGAACAGATTATGCCTAGAAATAGTCAATCATGGAAATTTTACATGCCTGGGATAAGAGTGCAGAATATGTCTGTGAGGTGAGTGACTAAACATCATGACCCATAAGGTCTAATCGTACTAGAACCATCAATTCACATAATCAAACAAATTTTTAAGTTTTGATTTAGAAGGAACTGTATGGATTTAGTAAGGATTAATGGATAAAGATACTGAATTTTGCAGATTGTGACACTGTTGTGCAATAGTTTGCTGAAGGGAAAGAAGGGGAGTAAATTTAGAGAAGTTACTTAGGTATCATAAGCTTTTTATAGTGTCAGGGATGAAAATTCAAGTCTGCTAACTTCCAGGTCACTGCTCCAACATAATACATCTTTAGAGATCTAGTTTATATTATAGTATGAACATTTCTTAAGAAATAAGAGAAATCTTGATTTGTGGGGAAAATCAGTTCCACCCCAGTAGCAGCACAAATTGACTCTACTCTGTATTTTAAAACAATAACCTGCAAATATTTTAATTTAGGGATTCCATACTTACCTTTCATTTTCTTTAACTCCAAAGAAATTGTGTTAATGTTTTTAATCATGGCTTCCACATTTAGCTTATGTTCAGTATTATTATTATTATACATCTGATTTTAAAAGAGAAACAAAAACAAAATATAAAATTTAAAATACTTAAATTTTCAGTATTTATAAAAGGAAAAGTTGTTATTTCAGAACTCACATATTTGTGAAATTGTACCTTCTATAAACGGTTGGAATTCTAACATAGGAAGGCATCCACTTGCTAATATTCTTCCTACCGAAAACATCTCTAACTGGAATTCCTAGGATGAGCTTTCTTCTTTAATCAAACCATATCCACAAGACGGAGCCCTTACAATGGAAATGCAGGTGTCCCCTTTACAGAAAGCCTCAGCATTTATAAACTATCTTACAATTCAGCAATCTCACATAAGATCTTCTCTAATTTTGTTTACGTAAGTCAGCATCTTTTTCTAACTTACACTTGAATGACAGGGTCTGTACGTGATTCCTTTAAGTACACAGTCAAGCTTAAAACAAGATTCAGTTATAATTCTTTGACTGGCAACATGACCACTTCTACTTTAGCTTTGAGAGTTAGGGCAACACACATTGTAATTTAGCTGAAATGTGTAAATTCACATTACTATGTTATACACACAGTACATATATTTAACCAATTGTGTCAGATATAAATGTATAGAGAGGTTCCCAGGTGATTCACTAGCAATTAACTTTACCCATTCAACCTGAAAAAATACCCAGCTACAGCAATGAGGAAGGTGGGCAGTTACACGTCAGGCTGCCTGTCCAAAATAGTGAAAACAAACTAACCTTGAAATCAATTCCTTGCCTCTGCCTCTCCCTGAGTCGGAGAAATGTATCCTATTTCACTCGCTTCAGAGCCACTGTAAAGGAAATAAATTGTCTGATTTCCAGACAATGAATAAGATACACTTTGCGTCCACTTACAAGCCCCCAGGCACTGAAAACGAAGTGGCAGCTATCTTACCTGGGTATGGCAAAGCAAAAGATCCAGGTTTGAGGGGAGAGAAAGATGATAAAAAATAAAGGAGGTGGGGTGGGGATGGTGCAATTAAAAAAACCTTTAAAAATAAGAAATGAATTTAAAAATTAAATTAAAAACCAAGAGGAAAGTAGCAACTGAATGGATGGAGAAATGACCCTCCCCACTCTTGAGGGGTTACCCAGGGCCCCCAAGTGGCCCTAGGTAGGTGAGGGCAGAGGTCAAAGTGGCAGCCGGACCCCACAGGGCCAGAGCGCGGCCAGAGCTGGGCAAGCCTTCCCCAGGGAGCTCATGGGGCACCCCTAAGAGAACGGGAACGCCGGTCAAACAGCGCTTCCGCAGGACGCGGGAGCCGGAGGCCGGGCTCGGGGGCAAGGGAACAGCGGGGTCGGCGGGCCAGGATACCACAGCGTGAAGGGACCAATGCAACCAGGGCGCTAACCCAGAGCAGGAGGCCTGGCGGCCAGCCGCTCCCCGTGAGGAGAGCTTATTTAACCTCCCAAGCTTTCCTTCTAAAGGCCAACCCCCTCTTCTCGGCCCAACTGACACCAGTGAGGAGCCCCAGTCTTGGGGCCCGCGGGGTGCGGGGGCCCACCCAACCGCAGGCCTGAAGATGGAGCTGAAGGCAGCATCGAAATGTCTACAGTCCTCATGCTCCCAAACCGCATCAGGACAACACGAAACGCTCCCCGCGTGCCCACAGGCCCTGCCTGGAGCCGCCCGGCCAACCGCCCTTCTCCACCCAACCGACGCCGCCGCCCGTGAGGAACCGGCCCGCCCCGCTCGGCGGCTGAAAATGGAGCCCGGGGCAGCCTGGAAACGTCAGCAGCCTTCACCCCGACGCCACACGCCAAAACCGACTGAGGATTATTTAAAACCGACTAACCCTGCCCAGCCCCACAGCCCCGACCCTCTCGATACCCGCCTCGCCAACCGCAAAGTGCTGGCCGTTATGGGCGAAGAGCGGTTATGGAAGCGAGACCGGGCTTCCTGATTGGCCAGCTTCTCTGCCTGGTGCACCCTGGGAGTTGTAGTCCCAGGCCAGGCCTCTTCAGAGAAGGTTCTGGATGCCAGTCTGGAAGTGACTGGTATACTGCCGCGTTGGCAGAGAGGACGGGTGGGAAGGAGCTGAGATTTTGCTCCTCTGTACCAGGCACTGTGCTAAGTGCTTTATAGCCCTTATTTGTGTTTGATTTTCACAGTACTGAGTGTGGATTGACTCTGTACTGAAACTGCGTGGGCTTGAATTCATCTCCAGCACTGATTTAGCTATAGCTGTCCTCAGCTGCCATAAAGATAGTAGTAGCTGCTTTCTTGTCTTCTTTTGAGTTTTAAATAAAACAATGCATTACAATGGGCTTGGCAGAAGAGGTGCCCCATAAATGTTAGCTGTTATCATTCCTATAAGCCTGTACAGATGAGCTGAGAGGTATACACTGGTTTCCTGCCAAATAGGGAAGTTGGGATACAAGCCATCTTTGCTGGATTCCAAGAGGAATCTCTGTCACTACAACCTTTGGAGATGACTCAAAGATTTTTCTCAGTCCCCCCCCCCCCCCGGGAATTGCCTTAGACCTGACGGACTCCAGCATCAGGTTCTATGCAAGTCTGCTTTCTCTAAGGCTCCCTGATAACACACACCAGCCTCTTGAACCAGTCCCTTCCTAGCAACCTTCAGCCCATAGTCTGTTTTGTGTGTGTGTCCAATTACCTTCAGTTTAACACTAGAATTTGTTGTCTGATGCAGAGTTTGATAGTTGACCAGGGTCATAGGAGGACTGAGCATCAGTAACATGGAGAAGAGTAACATCCTTTTTCGGAATCTCAGTTTTCTTATGAGAGGGATGAGCGAGGTCAGTGTTTTCTAAATCTCTTTCATTACTGGGCCACTGTTATGATTGGTTGCCCTATATTATTACCTTAACATTTTAAATGAAGCTTGAGCTTAGAGAGCTTGGTGCCTGCTTAGGGCCCACAAGAACCAGATTCAGTCCCAAGCACAGATCCCTTTTTGTTATTTTCATTGCACCAAGTTGTCTCCCACGCCAGAATACCATCTTTTGAAATGTGATATAAATGAGTACATCATGGCTTCGAAATGTTTTGGGCTTCACAGATCATTGAACCTGAACTTATATACGCTAATACACACACACAAGCATGCAAATGTGGAGCGACCAAAATAAATGTGAGCAACATTCATTTTCTGAATTAAGGACATTAACAAAACAAAAATAGCTGCCACTACTGTTTTATAAAAGCAGGGGTAATTTACCATCAAAAAGGAAGAAAGAAAAAGAAGGAAGATCATAATAATTTCAGGATAAGACTACCTGAACCAAAATCTCACTGATCTGTCTTTTTTTTTTCCCCTCCCCTTAATTGATGCAGACTAGTGAAAACTGCACCTCAGACCTGCATGATTCCACATGTGTGTTTGGATACTCCGCCTAGATGCACACAACAGCTGGAGAAAAGAGAGCGTTTACGAGAAGTGGGGTGAAAAATGTAGGCGGGCTGAGATAGTGTTAAGACCAAAAATCCTGAAAATCAAGTGATAATGAGGGCTGGGGCTGAGTGGGATGTGGTTTCTCTGGGGCCACATTGTCTCAAACATGTTGAATGCACTCACAAGGTCCAGTAGGGTTTGTAGGACCTACTTCTGCTCAAATACCTGTGGATTAAAATTCTGTTCACAGGACTTTTGATAAAATCTAAAGACTTTCCACCCATCCACTTCTTACGAGCAGATTCAAATTACTGTAATTGGGAAAAAAAACATCTTTGAGGCTTTTTAAAAAAAAATCAACTTTGTGGATTTTTTTTTAATAAGTGTTACAAGAGGGAAAAAGAGATCTGAACTCAGAAAAAGATAGATTGTAATAATGTATTTTCCTCTATAAAAAATGTGGAATGCTGATGATTACGTATTGTAGTGTTTTTCTTCCTTGAGTAGCTATAGATTTGGTCTTTTTTTTTCCCCCTAAGAAAACAAGACTTTCAAAGTATAATCTGCTGCTTAAGGCTTGAGACCGTTATAGATGAGGCCCTAAAAGAAAAAAAATCTATCTTCCTTAATTAGTCTGCAAATACAACACTTTCCTGAAACACGACACTGGTTGCAGTTGTTGATTCTAATGTTAATCAAATAAAGGAGATTAAAAAGCTGGTGAATTCCCCCATAAAGAGAAAAGCTGTTACAGAACAAGGTGATTAAGCGTTTTATGGAGCTGGGTGTGAGTGCCTCCGTTAGTTTTATTACAAATCCTTGGCATAAAGTCTTCATTTCCAGGGAAACAAATTGAGTAAATTATCTCACGTCTTCCACTAGGTCCCATTCCCTTCCACCCCCTGCTCATTGTCAATTAAACCATTCCTGTTGGTCTTCGTGCCTAGGGATGGCTTCCGGCTGGAGCATCAGCTCCCTTCTGCACATCCCTTTTACAACCCCTGTGTAGACAAATTAGGAGACAGCGAGCACATGCTTGGATTACTACCTGCAGAGCATGACTAGTGTCCAAAAGATGAAGGAAATCCTGCTGCATTAGAACCAGCAATACTTTCCCAATAGCCAGTCACATAAATGAAGCAAGACAGCGCATGCAAGGCTTCTGCCACTAAGATCTGAAGTGAAAGTTGGCTTCCCTGCCTTCTGTCTTCTACAAGCAGCTGAGGTTACATGGGAGAGAGCCATTTTCTTTGTCTCTGAAAGAAGCACTTCTGAACTTTAGAAAGAGGTTATCAACAGAAATCCACATTGCTCACTACATTAACTAAAATGTTTTTATTTCTGATTAAGAAATGACTTTATGTAAAAATCCTGCCATTTGTGACAGCAGGGATGGACCGTGAGGGTATTATGCTAAGCGAAATGAGTCAGACAGGGAAAAACAAATACTGTACGATCTCACTTATATGTGGAATGTACACACATTGAACTCACAGGAACAGAATGTAGAATGGTGGTAGCCAGAGGCTGAGTGGTGGGGAAAATGGGAAGATGCTGGTCAAGGCGTATAAACTTCCAGTTATAAGATGAATAAGTTCTGTGGATCTGATGTACAGTTACTGTATTGTGACTGTTGTTAACAATACTGTATCACGTACTTGAGAGTTGCTATGAGAGTAGAGTTTTAAAAACAATAACAACAACAAAATGATAATTATGTGGAGTGAAGAATGGGTTCACTTAACCTTATTGGAGTAAACATTTCACAATATATACATGTGTCAAATCATCACATTGTACACCTTAAACTTATACAATGCAATATGCCGATCATATCTCAGTAAAGCTGGGGGGGGGGGATTACAGTTCTGTGCCAACATTTCCCTCTGAAACAGGAAACTACCCAAATAGATTTGCCAAGAATATATGAGATATCCAGTTAAATTTGAATTTCAGGTGAACAACAGATAATTTTGTTACTATAAATATGTCCTAAATATTGTATGGCACATAAGTATATTAAACATTTATTTACTTAAGAATCAAATTTAACTGAGAATACTGTACTTTTAGTCACTAAATCTGCCAACCCTATGCCCAAAACACTTCAACCATGAAGAGAAAAGCAAACAGTCTGAAGGCATATAGATTTAGTAGGTATGGAAGCCAAGAAAAGATCGAGGTTTTCCAAGCTGATGTCCAAAATAATAAATACATACACTTACTGTGCCAGAATCTGCCTCCCTCCTTCCTTCAACGTTCTTGTAATGCAAAAGAGAGGCTAGGTCTTTGAGAAAGCAGATGGACAGAAGCTGACGATATTCAGCATGGCGCTGACTTTGACAGTTGCTTGCTATGCCTGTTTGTCTGAAAACTCTTTGCGCCTGGCTTTTTAGAAAATGCTTTCATGCAGCGAGACATATTCTTGACACAAGTTGTTGTTTATTCCCGGAGATCCGCCAATCAGAGAAAACCTTCTCTGTCCCCAAATAAAATGTGTTTCTAATTTCATCATGTCAGCCCTCCATCTCCCAACAATACTTCCCCATGTTTATTAAAGACATAGATCCTGATCAGACCTTTCTCCCTCTAGGCATTGCCCTCAACTCCCACACCTCACCTTCATCAGCCAGCCATGCAATGAAAAATGATTGCCTTTATGAAAAGAATATATTATATTCATGAGGTCAGTTACAATAGAATATAAGTGTGTACTCACTTCTTTTAAGGAAAAAGATGCATACGTGCATAAAAACAAATTTGGAGGAATAAACACCAAAGTTTTAACGATTATCTCTGGGTAGTGAGATTTATGGGTAATTTCCTTGTACTTTTTCTTTTTTTTTTTTTTGCATCTATTTATTTAGCTTAGCTGTCACTTTAGTCCCAACCCTCTTCTCTATATTTTTAAACTCTCCAGGACATTTCTCAACATGGTACAACACCAGTCACTTTAAAGCAGAGCTTCTCAAACAAACTTTACAGTGTACAACAATTACTTAGACAGCTTGTGAAAAGGCATAGTCCAATTTAGATTTACTCAATTAGTAAGTCAGTAAATCTAGGTAGGGCTCCCTAAATCTGCATTTTTAATCCCTCCTCCTTCCATTTTAACCTGGGTGGACTATGGACCATATTTTTTTAAAAAGCAACTTCATTGTGGTATAATTTCTGTACAGTAAACTACACATATTTCACATGTGCAATTTTATGAATATTGATAGATGTATGTACCTATGAAACCACCTCCACAATCAAGATACCTAACAGTGCCATCGCTCCCCGAGAAGTGCAAATCTCGAGCTCCCAATGTATCCCTTCCCACCCCGCTTACTCCCTGGTAACCATAAGTTTGTTCTCTGTGTCTGTGAGTCTTTTTCTGTTTTGTAAGTA